TCTCTAATCAAGAAAATTATATTCATCAGGCACAGAATCTGTTGATTCTTTAACCATGTTTCCAAAATAATCAGATGCATTTTCCCATTGTGCAAGTAAGCTAAACTATGGCATTATTTCAAGGCATCGTGAGCGCCCCCTCCAAAAAAACCCCTCCAAATTCCACAGAAAATCTTGCTACATTGGCTGTAATTTTCTATTGAATAATATCATGCAAAAATTGGTTAAGAAAATAGGTATGAATTAAGGAATACCGGAAGAAATTTTCCATGCATCATTTCAATGAAGCAAATTATTTCTTGCCTAAAAACTTTGTAATAAGTTGCAATCAGTTTTTACAATAAAATATAAAAATGAAAAAAAAACTCTTTGAAAAAGTAAATTTTTGATTTAAAGTAATGATCAAAAATATGCATATAGTGTTATTTATAATATGGAAGGGAAAAATAACAAACATAAACATTTACATAAATGTTTTTATCCTGATACAGATTGAATCAAAGTATCTACCAGGAGATGAATAAATAAACAAAGTGTGCTAAATAAATAGATACATGAAGAAACATTACTAGGAGCAATAGTGACCTAAGATTTCCAGAAAAATAATGCATGGAATTTGATGACATTATGTTAAGATAAATAAGTCTTACATAGAAATGAAAATTTATTCGTGATCTTTCTCATGTGCAGACATTTAAGAACATGCTAATTGCATTACATACTAGTGATTACCGCAGACTAACAAGAGAGGGACGAAGGATAGTAGAAAGTTTCAGGATGCACACACAAATATACTTAGAATATACAAAATTAAGAAGTGCTAGCATTCCACAAAATGTGAGAAGACTACACTAAAATATGCATATTCAGAATTTTCTAAGAAAGAGGAGCCCAAAGTTCCAAACACAAAGTAACATTATGGAAGTGCAATTTATACTGACCTTAAAAGCATGTGTTTATGTATGCATTGACATATCACAATGTACTCCATAAAAATATTCAGTTATGTGGTAATCAATTTTTCAACGTTTGAGACAGAACTGCTAAGTACACTGGCTTGAATATTAGAGTTTACATTATAATAAATCATTATATTGTATTCAATACAATATTAGAATTGTAATATAATTTTTAAAATGAGAATATGTAAATCATTCCATGTATTTTACACATGTGAAAACTACATAGCTTCATCTTAGTCATAAATTAAGAAAAACAAAAACTTAAAACTTTTAGTATATGCTATTTTGAAACACAATATTGCTTAGGTTTTTAAAACTTTCCATTTTTAAACTCTCCCCATGTTGATTTGATTTGCATCTGTCCTTCTTAAATTTTAAAATAAAGCCTGTGAAAACTAGAGTGAGAGCAGGCCTAACAGGCCTTTAGGGATAGAGCCAGACCAGCATGCACTGGTCAAGGGAGCAGGCTTGGGATGTTGGGACAAATGCTTTCTGACAGGTCCCACAAAGGCAGATGTAAGAGAACATGGACTTAGAGAGCCTTGTGCAGTCAGAGACAGCAGTGAGAATAGAAGACACTTTCCAAACAGCCCATCATAGTCATTGGTTGATAAGTAAACTACAGTCATGGTGCCTCACACCCAGCCACACAGAGGATGGAATCACTGTTTTTACCTTAAAGTGTTCCAGAGCTCAAATTTAGCAGCATAACAATTACAGGGAGGCTTCAATGCCTTTGGGAGTGGAATGAAAGAGGGCTATCCAGGCCCAACAGAGAGCCAGTACTTGAAAGCAGACTGGGTGATAACTAGGCTGTAAAGTAGGGGGCACAAGGCAAGCAACAGGCTATGGTTCATAACAGAACAAGGGCATCCACTATACCCTGTCCTGTGAATTGCAGTGAAGGAAAGCAAGCAGCCTCGGGATGGAGAAGAGCACCACAGGCTGCCCAGTGACCAGCAGGCTTTGGATAGCTGTGGAAAAGGGCACTCCTCTTCACTCTCCACCAGCTCTTGGAAGAGGTGTAGGAAGCTTGGGTGTGATCAACAGTACAGCAGAAGTCTTAAAGGATCAGGCCTAGCAATCAAGAATGGAAATATCTCTTAAAATAGCAAGGGACCATGATAAAACAAAGCAACAATTACAAGATGGTACAAAGATCAACAACACAAGGCTGATTGGATTAAATTAAAATGCAGAAAGCACAAATGACGTAAGAAACACAAACAAGCAGAAATAAGAAAGTAAAGCATGGAAAAAGAGTTTGACATGCACATAAGTGAGGCAAAAAGAACTTCAATTAATCATGACCAAAATAAATCTGTACCAAGGCATATGATAATCAAGACTCCAGAAATTTAGCACAACAACCGAAAATTAAAAGCTGTTAGAAAAAATGAGCAGTTCACTTATAAAAGAAAAACAAATCAGAATCATTGCAGACTTCTCAACACAAACCCTTAAGTCAAAAATAACTCTGAATGAAGCATTTAAAGCCTGGAAAGAAAACAATTTCCAACCCAGACTGATGTATCCTGCAAAATTATCTTTAAGAAAACTAATGGCAAAACGAAGTTCTACCATGTGAAACAAAAATTGAAGAAATTCATGATCAATAAACAGTCCTATAAAGAGTTCTGGAAGATAATCTAGAAAGAAAAAAAGCCCACAATTCTAAGAGTATTAATAGAAATAAATTACCAGAAAGGAGAAGCAATTAAACAGAGGACAAATATAAAGAATCATCAACAGGAACATCATATGACAAAGACAAAATGATGCATATCAGTTATAATACCAATGTAAGTATTTTCAATTCATTAATCAAAAGAAATGGAATGGCACAATGGATCTTGAAACAAGATCCAAAAATATGCTTGATTGAAGAAACACATTTAACTAGGAGAGAAATTTATAGAATGAATGAAA